CGTCTACCCCACGCAGGCTATGGGCCAAGCACCGTCACTGAGAAGGAACAGAGACTGCATCTGCGGCCTAACAGAGAAATCCGACTTGTGCCTATACTTGAACCTCCCTGTCTAGTTCTTGTCCCAGAATTTCCCACTGCTTATTTACCAGCCCACCCGCCCCCGCTCGTGGGCCCCAGGGCTTCCCTACCTTGCACGGTCACCGCCACCTTGGCTGAGAACATGGGCGCGCTCTCCACAGGGATGCGCATGGTGCCGGAGCACTGGTAGCGCCCGCTATCGCTGGTACGCGCCTGCGGCACCGTGTAGTTGGCGCTGGAGTGGAAGTAGCGCACAGCCTGGTCATCCCGATAATAGTGAAGCTTGTAGACGACCTTGTCGTACCAGCCGCGACAGCGCATGACCAGAGATTCTCCCTCGAATACTGCAGCGTAGGGAACCTGCAGGATCAGCCAGTCTAGGACAAACACCACGGGCAAGCCTGATTCCAAGAGAAAGCCCAGCCTTAGGAGTCCCCATTCTACTCCTCCTTCCTGCTCTAAGCCCACACATACTCTCCCTTTCCTCCCTACAAGCCAACATCCCTCCACCCCCAATTCTAAACCCAAAGGCCTTCCCTGGTGGTTGGCACCTAAGAAGTCTTGTGATGAAGGATGCATTAGAAGGTGTGTGGGGAGGTGAGAGGTGTAGGGTACTAGGGAGGCAAAGACACCTGAGACTTGGTTCCAGCCTCAAACAGCACTGCCTGTAAGAATCAAGTTTAAACTCCTTAGAGTGGCATCAAAGCCTTCCTGACCAGGCCGCTGCCTACCTTTCCAACATCATCTCAAGATTCTCCTTTTCCCTTCTTCTCCTTTACTCTTCTCACCTTCCACTCCTAACCCAGGCTAAGTTCCAGCCATATTGAATTGCTGGGAGAATGGACCTTTCTCTGAGCCTTTGCACCTGGTATTTCTTGAGCCAAGAAGATCCATCTTCATCTGCTCAGGTTGAGGTCTACTTGTTCTTCTGGTCTAGACTTAGACTTTTTGTCCTCCAGAAAACTTCCCTAGTTCCCCAGGACAGTCTTAGGCATCTCCCATAGCACCCAGTATTTACCCCATCACCATCATCATCATAGCTAACACTTACAAACCAGGTGCCATTTTAGGTGTTCCACAATGAGAAAGAATTCTGTAAGTAGAAGCCACAAACCATATGCTGCTTTCAGTTCTGCAAGCAGTAACCACTGTCTGTCATAATATCTTACCTACTGTGCCTAAGGTACTTGACTGCTAACCAGAAGACTGGTGGTTCAAACCCATCAGCCACTCCTCGGAAGGAAGGTTGGGCAATCTACTTCTGTAGTGATACAGCCTTGGAAACCCAAGGAGGGGTCTCTATGAGTCAGATCCAACTCAACAGCACATTACAACAACAACATCCACACTAACAATTTCCAAACAAGAAACAACAGAGTACTGAGCAATACACAATAGATGAGTCCTAATAGAAAGAAAAAAAATGTGGAACAAAACTTCAAATTCTTGAAGAATCAGACTTCCTGGACCCATTGAGACTAGAGGAATCCCCAAGACTAATGCTGCCCTGAGATTCTTTTTAAACTTTGAATAGAAATTATCCTCTTTTAACTAAATAGCAGGTTAGCTCAAAAGCTAAAGAACTTCACCCTTGAGAACGGTGCTCTTTCAAAAATTATCTATATGAGACCAAATGGACAACAGTTATACTACAGTACAGATGAGAAGTTGGGGGGGGGGGCTGGGCACAGTGAAACTAAATTAATGGTAGTGGGACAACTAGAACAGAAATAATGAGAATGTTGATACAAGCTCAAGAATGTAACCAATGCCACTGAACATTATGTGTAGAAATTGTGATGCCCTTAAATTTGAAATACAAATTTACCAGGCTAAGATTACATAATATTGTGTTTGAAGTAGCCAATCAATGTGCCTTAATGAACAAATTATTATTACTTCTCGTATTCTGTATTAAAACCCTTCAAGGGAGTCAGTTTCTCAACTGACACTTGCATACACATATGTGGATGTCTATAATAAAATTTTGATAAGTGCTCTATTCAATTACTGCTTTTTTCTTTAATAACATGTAATCATTAATTTTTAACCCCAACAATAACTGAGATAGATACTATTATTGTCCCTCTTTTACTGATGTGCAAACTGAGCTACACACTGTTAAATGAACAGTAATTCTCCTAGCTGCATTCAACCTGCCAGGGACCCCTTATATTCCTACTTTACTTTGCCCTTTTCTTTCCCTCCCTGTCCCCCTTCTAAAGTTTCTGTTCAGTATCCCGAGTCTTCAGAGCGTCTGCCACACCCACTGCTATCAAGTCGATTCTAACTCATAGAGACCTTTTAGGACAGGGTAGAATGCCCCCCTAGGGTTTCCAAGGCTGTAAATCTTTACAGAAGTAAACTGCCTCATCTTCCTCCCATAGAGCAGCTACTGGCTTCGAACCACCCACCTATCTTTTAGTTAACAGCCAAACGCTTTAAGCACTATACCACCAGACCTCTTTCATAAACAAACAAAAATGTTTAATTGCTTCACACTGTGGCAGGAGGGTGAGAGGGAACCTTTGAAATGACTTTGGAGTGACTCCCCAGTGATACTTGAAGAGTTTTAATACAAGAAGAGAAGTAACAATAATTTGCTCACTAAAGCATAGGATTAGCTGCTTATTGGGGAATATTATGTAACTTTAGCCTGCTAGGTCACGATTTGTATTCAAAACTTAAAGACAAGCCTTTCTGCATCTCCACATAAAGCCCCTTCCTTCTCCAGACACTCAAGACAGGCCCTGTGTCCTCTCCCATAAATCCAAAAAAACCAAACTCACTGCCATTGAGTTGTTTCTGACACATAGCGACCCCCATTGGGTTTCTCAGGCTGTAAATCTTTATGGAAATAGATCACCCCATCTTCCCTCCACAGAACAGCTTGTGGGTTTGAACTACTGACCTTCTGGATAGCAGTAAAATGCCTTATCCACTATTCCACCAGAGCTCCTCCTCTCCCATAGAAGGGCCCAGTATCACTGGAGGAGACACATGAGACCCTTTCCCTCATGTTCAGACCACTCACCATTGGATACAGAGAGGTGGATGGGGTCACTAACAGGTGCTCCCCGTGTCTGACATCGATACACCCCTGGCGTCTGCACCTCAATGCTCTTCTTGTGTGAGGGCAGGAGCAGGTGGCCCAAATACCAGAGAGTGCTGATGGGCCGCAGCTCCAGGAGCAGAGGGTGGTACCCATCACACCGCAAGGTGACCCGCTCCCCCTTGAAGATTGTAGTCCAAGGTGGGTGTAGGGACAATATGGGCTTCTCCAAAGTAGCTGGGGGTGGAGAAAGTATATAAGCCAGAATCAAAGTGAGACACTCTATGATACAGTCTGAATTTGGGAAACCTCAGAAAATTTCAACTTTCAGGACCCAGTCCACATTACTAACCCATACTTACAGGAAGAAAGGCCACATTTGTTGAGCCAAAAACTATTAGTCTTTAAATCAACACCAAATTCTACTGATAAACTGAGTCACAGGGATTGGAGGAGAGTGAAGAAACACTACCCCAGAACAACCAAAAAGTGATATGTCTACATAAGCAGTCACTTGGGAAGGGTGAGAGGGGAGATTATGGAAAACTGGGATGAAGGATGTATAAGACTCACCTGTTTGTCCACTGCTTGAAACTGTAAAACAAGAAATAAAACAGAGGAAGAAGAAGAGTCAGAAATAGGAGGTGGATGTGGAGTGTGTGGCTAATTGCTTCCATTAAACAACTGCTTTCTTGGCCATGAGACCAGAAGAACTGGATGGTGCTCAGCTACAACTGAACATTTTGATCAAAGATTCTTAGAAGACTCCTGATCAAAAGGTGGGGGTGGGATGCAGAATGGAATTTAACATTCTTATGGACTCCAGACTTTCTGGAGCCATGCAGGCTGAATGAAACCACACAACTATTGCCCTGAGATAATCTTTAAACCTTAAACTAAAATATTTCCTGAAGTCTTCTTAAAACCAAGCAATAGTTTAGTTTAACTTGTAAAAAAAGAATGTCTGCCTTGAACATTATGCTTTTCTTTTAAGAACTATCTATATGGGATCATAGTGATGACAGCAGCTCACAAGATTAGATAGGAACCTTAGGGGACTTTATGTTAATGGAAGATGAACAAGTCAGAGAAGGAGGGTGAGAATGGTTGTACAACTCAAAGAATATAATCAGTGTCGTTGAATTGTGCATGTAAAAACTGTTGAATTGGTGTATATTTTTCTGTGTATATTCTCAACAACAACAACAAAATAAATAAAATTAAAAAACAAGAAAGAAAGAATAAAGGAAGAGAAAATTGGAGATGAAAGGAAAGAAAGGGATTCTGGTGACTATAGGAAATACTGAATGGTATTAAGACCTATTTTTCTTCTCTAGTTTCTTCAACTCTGAGAAAGCCCCCTCTTTCTTATCCCTCCAAAAAATAAAAAATAAAAATAAAAATATTGCACTGCTTGGAATCTTCACACAGAAATGTTTTCAACACACACACATCTTGTCCCACCCTCCAACCCACCAACCAAAATCCTTATGCCACCACTGCTTCATTGAGGACTCACCCAGGAGGAGGATGGCTGTCAGTGCCCACATGATTGATCTGGCTGCAGCAGCTACAGATGGAAAAGATGTGGTGGCACGGGATAGGAGAAAGAGAGAGAAAAGGTGACCAGTGGCTGACCACTGAGTATCTGAAGAATTGTTCCTTCTCTCACCCATTCCTAACTCCTGAAGATGGTGAACTGCAAAGAGTGGGAGACAGGCTGTCTATGTGTGTATATCCTCAGGTGTTCCAAGCACCAGGCCTTATCCCACCTACTACCCCTAAAGCCACCTCACATCTCAGGCCAGCCCCAACTCCGGCTAATAGGTCCTGGTTTAAAGAGAAGGCCTACAGATCCTGTGCCCTCTCAGCACAATACAACCACATAAAACCCCAGGTTCTAGCAGGTGACCCTGAAACCTTCAGGCTCTCTTTGACATCCCACTCTCCTGTCACTTTCCAGCTGTCCTGTAAGCCTCTTTGGAGGAAGAGACATCTGCATGTTCTAAATGTCTTCCTGGGGCTTTTTTTTTTTTTTTTTTTTTTTCTGCTTACTCTCTGATAACAGACATTTGCTTGAGGCCCAGTGAGGTTGATATTGGGATCCCTGTACCCAGAGCTTACATCTTCCCATGGATGAATAGACAGAAAGACATGACTCACCAACCACTCTTCAGTGTCACTGTCTTCTAATTCCCTAGTCAAGGACAGAAATGCAATGTGTTTCCACTTCTTCCCTTCCTGAAACCTAAAAACCAAACCCATTACCATCAATCAATTTCAACTCATGACAACGCTTTGTGTTACAACCCTATGTGAACTATTCCATAGAGTTTTCCTGTCTGTAATCTTTACAGACACAGATCACCTTTCTTCTGCAACACTGTTAGGTAGATTTGAGCCACCAACCTTCATGATTTGTACCACCCAGGCATTCCTAAAACCTTAAATCACCCAGCTTAGAAAACTCCCCCTACTCAATCCAATAATCTCACACTACAGCACCTCTACTCCCTTGTTTCTTTCTTCTTTCCTTCCATTCATCCCCTGCAGCCCCACTCAACCACACTCCAGTTCCAGGACTCCTTATTTGTGGCAGAGAATTCACTGTATCAGTCCTTCAGAAGCATCTCAGTTCAGACCTACTGCCTCTGCTTGTGCTCTGTGTCATGTGACCATACCCTGAGCAGTAGGGGAGTCTGAATTTTCATGTAAATAGTTAATGAATTTTCCAATCTGATAGTATGTCTCCTTGGACTCTGTCCTGTCCTCACTTGTGGCTGTTTAGAACCAGGACACCTGTTCTGGTTACCTAGTGCTGCTCTGACAAGAATATACCACAAATGGCACGGCCTTAACAAACAGGAGTTTATTCTCTTAGTTTGGAGGCTTTAACTCCAAGTTCAAAGTATCAGCCTCTAGGGGCTGGATGAAAGCCCCTCGACCTTGAGCTTCAGCTCTGCCTCTTGCTCCCAGCCCACCGAAGCTAGAGGCATCTCTTCACTCAGGTAGCTACTGGCTGTTGAGGTTGACAAACCCAAGGTTGACAAATAAAATGGGACAGTCCTGATGTTACCAAACCACATGGCAGGGCATTAACTCAAGTCCATTGAAAGTCCCAATGTCAGCAGAGCATGGCAGGCTGTCGAGCAATGACATGGCTACATGCAGGGTTCAAGTGTGCCATAAGCTAGAGACTATCCCCAAGGCTTCTCCTTATATACAGGAAGCAGACCACATCCCAAAGGCAGCTACTCAGCTGCTTGTGGTAGATCCCACCGTAGAGTTGATTGCCAGTCTCATCATGGGGAATAACTACCACTAGCTGCCCAGCCACTCCACCAGGCCCAGCCAAGTTGACATACAAATTTAACTACCACAGAACCTACTTCCTTTGGAGCTCTGGCAGGAGGGAGATTATCAGACTCTGTCAGTTCTCTCTAGGATAGTATTTTGCCCCCTTGCTTGCCAATGCTAAAAGTCCCACTCAGAGAATTCCTTCATTGTTTAGGGTAACGTGCTAGTCTGTGGTGTAGTAAATTACCTGGTATAGCTTTTCTAGTCATAAGTCTTTGTAAACTCCATTTACTGTGGAATTTGCTGTGAGCAACTGAGGAGCTCCTGATTGTAAAAGTTATCCACCTGGGGTATTTCTGTTGGGAGTGGCACTGGAGCAATGTTCTGGCAAGTTCACTGTCTCTCAGGTGCTTAGACAATTCTGATGTTATGATTGGCTAGTTTGGCCACTCTGCCAGGCTTAAAAGGAGGCCTCCTAGAGGCAGAGATCTCTCTGACTGCTGGCTGAGGAAGACGTGCTGTTGAAAGAGACACATGCTCCTGAGAGACACACACTGCTGGGAAAGAGATGCAAGAGACATAAATTGCTGAGTGAGACACTGAGGGACACACACTACTGGGAGAGAGACTGTGAAAGACTGTTGGCTGAGAGATGGCAGGCTGGGAGAGAGACTGAGCGTTTTTCCTGAACTTGAATTGTAGCCTGGTGCTTCCCTAATAAACCCCATAATCTGTGAGTTCTGTGTGGCCACTGCAGTGAATTATCGAACCCAGGAGAAAGATGGTGGGTGCTTTGGGAGGAACGGTTGGTGAAAGGACTGGAGGGAGGCAGCATGTCTGGCTTTGCAGGAATAGGCCTTAGGTTACTGATAGTGATTCTGTCTTCCTCTTGTGCGGTTAGAGGAGGTCAGAAGATGTGGTCTCCTTGCCCTTTTTTGCATAGTCCCTGTTAAAAAATGCAAATGCTTCTTAAGGAAATGTGACATTAAATTATGCTGGCAACTTCAGATTCAGGTTTGAAAGCAATTTTTGATAAAAGAAAAGTAGAGTCTTATAGGGAAGTATTTCTAAGGATTCCAGGAGTAGGGATGGGAGATGCTAAAGATCCAGAACTAGATGCTGGGGGCAGAGACTGTGAACTGCCTGCTTTGGGAGTGTCTAGCTAGGCCATGCTTCTGTGCTTCCCCACACCCTGCCTGACTCCTCATCCTGGGCTAATGTGGGGCTCCCCCATCATCCACAACCTGCCTGTGATGGCTAATGTTATGTGTCAACTTGGCTAGGCTATAATTCTCTGTGGTTTGGAAGATATTATATAATCTTCCTCCATTTTGTGATCTGATGTGAGCAGCCAATCAACTGGAAGAGGAGTGAGTTTCCTTGAGAGTGTGACCTGTATCCAATATATATGGATGGCCTGGCAAAGCTCACATGCTCTCTCTTGATCCTGCACTCATCTCATGGTCTGGCTTCCAGTTCTTGGAGTAGCCTTCAGCCTGCCACCTGACCTACAGATTTGGAACTTGCCAGCCTCCACAATTATGTGAGCTGTTTCCTTGAAGTAAATCTCTCTATATTTATTTTTATATATGCTTCACTATTTTTGCTCCTCTAGAGAACCAAGCACAAAACACTGCCCTTCTAGCAAGCCTCCTCTTGAAAGCTGGTATGTGCACAAGGCCACTATCTCTATAATAAGAATGCAGTGCAGCTATCAGTTGTCCCTATAGTCCACAAAGTCTGGCTCTATTTTGGCTTCACATCCCCCAGAACACAGATCTCAGCTCCCTCAATGGATTCCAAAAGAAATTCAATAACACCAAGCATTCATATGTTGTATAGTCTTTCCTGAAAAACTCTGGAATCTATGGTAGGGTTCATATCACATTGTTCAGAATTTTATTTTAAAATTCTTCTATTCAACATTTCTTTATTCTAGCCTCTTCTTTGCATTTTTCTCAAGTTAAATATTTTGCTCTCTCCAGAACTTTCTCCCCAGATTTTCTAATTCTTCACCTCTTTAGTATGCAAGTCAGAGAAATTTAGCAATTGTCTTTTGTCACTTTAACAATTCTTGGAAGCCTATTATGATGTAATTTCTGAATAAGATATCACCTGAATTGATAAGAACTCTAGGGAACTCTGGTGGTGTAGTGCCTAAGGCACTTGACTGCACTCCTCGGAAGGAAGGTTGGGCAATCCTACTTCCGTAGTGATACTGCCTCGGAAACCCAAGGAGGGGTCACTAAGAGTCAGGGTTGACTCGAGGGCACATAACAACAACAACAACTAGTGAATAAAATGGTCTTGCCACTGTTGATGATAATACTGCAGCTTCTGACAATAATGATGCCAGCTCACTTTTTTTTTCCCTTAATTGTGATTTGGGTAAAAGTTTACAGAGCAACTTCATTTTCCATATAGCAGTTCACACACATTTTGTTTCATGACATAGATTGCAATCCCCACTGTGTAACAGCTCTCTTTCCACCTCCTCCCTGTGGATACTAGCTCACTTTTAACGTGTGCCTTAGCATGTGGCAGGCCCTATACGAAATACTTCATAGATATTACTTTATTTAATTCTCATAACAGCTCTTTGAGAAAGATAATTAGTATCCCCATTTTACATATGAGGCAATGGAATTGAAATTTGAGTAGAAGACAGTCTCACTCCAAAATCTGTTTTTTGCTCTTCTCTCTCACGCTCTCTCTGTCTCTCTCTCTCTCACTCACTCTCTCTCCCTTTCTCCTTGTAGGGGTTCAAGGTTTTGCTCATGGCAAACTGTGATCATTGGTCTCTGCAATTTCCCTCTCTTATTTTATTAGTTTTCACCTTCATCCACATTACTATCCTCCTCCCTTCCACATATGCATCCATTATGTGATGTTTATTGTATGTTACTATATATATGCTTGGTAAAATAAAAACTTTATTTTTCTGATTCGTAGCGACCCCTCCTTGGGTTTCAGAGGCAGTATCTCTATGGAAATAGATTGCCCAGTTTCCTTCCAAGAAGTGGCTGGTGGGTTTAAACCACCAGCCTTCCAGTTAACAGTCAAATGCCTTAGGCACTACGCCACCAGAGCTCTTTGGTAAGGTAGAAAGTTAGCAAAAAAGAGGAAGCCCTTCAATGAGATGAACTGATACAGTGGCTGAAACAAGGGGTTCAAACACAGGAACAATTTTAAGAATTGCACAAGACTGGGCAGTGTTTTGTTCTGTTGTACATAGGGTAGCTCTGTGTAGGAAGTCACTCAATGACA